TTTCCTGATTATGTGATCGAAGTAAACGGCGTAACAAGGTATTGGCTTCGCTGCACTGCTCGACAATTGTGATTTTTCGGCACAGAGCCACGTTAATTTTAGGGTACTTTTGTAATCTTTGTTGTCTAAATTTAATGAAGCATCAACTTGAACGACTTTGCCATTCTTCTTTAGAATTTTTTCAATCAAAAGATTTCCCCAATTGATAAAAGTAGCATTTTGACCTTCTCTTAAAGCCTCGGCATCTTCGGCTTCGATCAACACCGTAGATGCAATTTGCACTTGCTTCGTACCTAGAGCCGGATCTTTCGGATGATTGGCAACCGTTAAGCAATCGGCGGTTACTCCCTTTACGTTTACGGGAATTGTTTTGCCGCTATCTAACGCCGTGTACCTAAAAATATTAATAATTCTCACGTTGAATAAAATTCAAGCGATCCCATTGGCGTTATCCTATCGAATATCCAAGTGTCGTAGGTACGACAATGAATGAATTCATTCACCTTATGGCAATAGGATCGATAACTTTTTTATTTATAGCCCATATCTTATCCCACTCCATGAAGACAACTGAACGCGAACTTCCTTGAGCAATTATGAACTGCTTTAAGCCTTCGACTGTCATTCCTCTGCGTAAAATTCCCCTTACTGTTGGGAAACGCGGGTCGTCCCAACCATCGACTAAGCCTTCGCTAACGAACCACGTTAATTTACGCTTAGATAGTACGGTGTTGGTCATATTGAGTCGGGAGTATTCCCAAATGTGGGGTCGATTTAATTTCAGAGCATCAACGAACCAGTAGAATTGATCATCCCTGTCGTGATATTCAGTCGTACGTAATGTATGCGTGACGTTTTCAATTGCATCGACGATAGGACATGCAAAATCATAGGTTGGGTACACCCTGTAACAAAGGCACAGTTGTTGGCATGAATCGTTCGTATGCTACGTAGATTGAATATACATTGAAGGAAAGTGTAATGGCTATTACGAAGAGTTTGTGAACGAGTGTGAGTGCGTTTGTTAAAGTAGACAAAGTTTCACGTTACTTGTACTTAGTCCCAGTGCGAGGATGGGGTTCACTCTTGCATCGGTAGATCGTAGGATCGCGCAAACAACCGTTTGCCGACTGATAATCAATTTTAGCTCTGACGCAGCACTCTTGTCCCCTAGCCGTACCTTCCACCATCTCTTTCCAAAGCGATAGGTTATTTTCAACGGCTGCGCCATGTCGAATTTGAAAGCATTTATTACAATCGATAGGAGAGAACATTGCACGAGGCAGTGAAGATTTTTCATTTGCATTTCTTAAGCTACGTACGAAACGGGAGATAACTTACAATTGTCCCTATTGGCAGACGGTAGCTTTTGATCTCGTTGCTCCTTCATTTGTTGGGCTGGGGTATCGTCGACAAAGGCCTTGCTCTCTTTTAGCAACTTTTCGCAATACTCTAACATTATGTCAAAGTAGTCGGACGAATGAGTGAAGCGATCTGGCTTTATTCGTAGCAGCGTCAGATCTTCTAGAATAGCCTTTTCGAATTCGACATTTTCTTTCGCCGGATTCGTATCGTCGAATCTCATGATGAGTTGGCCTTGAAAGTTCTCGGCGTAGTACTGATTCAACAGGGCAGCTTTAGCGTGACCAATGTGTAAGTAGCCACTGGCTTCGGGGGGAAATCTAACGATAACTTTTCCCATCTCAGCGCCCGGCAAATCGACAAACTTTCCCTCCTGTTTCCTTGTAACGACGCTTTTAGGGGCTGCCACGTCGTTTCTTTTGCTCTTCGTAGCGGCTGTAGGATTTACGGTCGTATTTTTGGATACTAGCGACAGAACCTTCTGCACTTCCGGCAATGATAACATCTGATCGTACCATCTAGATAAATTCTGATACTTGTCGTTAATCTCATCCGCCTCTTGATAATAGATTTTTGAAAATACACAGATGTCCGCGATAGTTAAATGCTTCGCCACTAGCCATGTTCTAGGTGCCAAGGCTTGATCTAAATATAGCAGTAAGCAGTCGTCTTTGTCGGCATGGTTAACAAGCTTATCTGCAAATGTCAGCCAATGATCGACCTCTGTTCTATCGAATGGGTCGTTACTTCCTGAAAAAAAAAACTTAAAATTTATAGGCAAACGACGAATTTAATGGCATAATACAACGAATTCATCGTTAAATCATAATAATAAGCTTACCATAGAGTTGGGCATTGTGCGCTCTTGATAAATAACGAGCAACGTCGCTACTCCGTTCTCCTAAAATTTTACCGTTACTTCCAAAGAATTGAAGTTTGGCCAAGTTCTTTCCAAAATCAGTGGACCAAACAACTTGTAGGTCAGAATTTAGCTCCTTGCGAACAATTTCCACTATTATCAAAGCTCCTGTAATAAATTAAGATTGATTTATTGACTTGGCATAGGCATCGACAGACACGCGTAAATCGATTTAAAAGATCTGATCACCTCGAAAGCAGCAAAAATATATGAATAAAAGCATGAACAAACATTACGTCATACACAAAAACAAATCAGTACATCATACATCGTCCCTTTCACCTTTTATTTTTATATATTATGACATTTATACGTACCGACAGATGGATTTGCAGAATTAATTACAAGTTTCATGGGCATCTTTAAAAAATATCTCTATTTGTCAGTATCGTTCTATTTATCGAGCAGTTTTCATAAATTTATGATTTATGATACGATTCTAGCCCACGTGGTCAACCATTAAATACGAGGGAATGACGATTCGTCTGATTCGCCTGCTGGATGGATGTCCACTACATCTACAACAATAACAATAATAAGAGAACGGAGTAAAAAATCAAGATTATCCTGCTACGGGTGGAGTGGTGTTGGTGCGTTGTTGTGTGAAATATTCCACGCGCGTGTAGAGCCGCGGAGTTTGAGATTTGTTCCGCGATGTGTGGGGAAAAGAGCGCGAATATTCAATGCAACGAGGAGCGTCACTTTGTAGTGTTGTCGGACCTATTAATATATACTGACTAATATTTTATAGTTTGAGGAAATCGAAATGGACGATCGTTGGAAATACATTGGCAACGACAAAAAAGCAGCGCGTAACATTGTTACGTCTAGGACTGTTAAAGGCACAAGACAGCGTGGCCGGCGAAAAACTTAATCGCCCGTCAATCGTTCGTTGCCTCGCCGAGAATATTTACGCGAGCAGATGCTTTAACGTAAGATCAGTAATCCGATCATCTATCGAAAATAAGAGGGACATTAGATTGCTATTATCGTCCAGCGATCGCGTATCTTCACTTGTTAGTCAACGTTCAAGGTTCGAGGGGAATAATAACACCCGCATTCGCACAACGAATAGAATCATTGTTTTAAGTCGAGTGGCCTTGATTATTAGTAAATCAATGATAAGGTGAATGACTAGGGATCGAAAGCCGTGGTTACCGAACACGACAGCCTGTCCGACAACCGAGACGACTGGATATATAATTGGAAAGGGAAATAATGATCGAACGAGGAGAGACAGTAGCCATTCTACATAAATTCTACATATACTTCAACTGTATAAAGAACAAAGACTTTAAATATTCCTTTATATACTCTATATTATGACGAAGGTACGTCTTTGGTCTCTCGTTTAAATTTTGTAAATAGAATGAATGCATACCAAGGCTTTTTCGTTAAAGGTATTAATTTGAATGAGCCGATTTGCTCGGACAGTGCGTCTTCTGCGTGAATATCTCCGTGAGATAACGAGGTGACACCGAGGAGGTTTAGGATGTTTCAAGTTTTAATTTGTACGGAATTTAAATTGATTGATAATAAAGAGAGGGTTTAGAGATTGATGATAAATAATTGATGATAAAAATAAGTAGGTAGAGGCTGGGCTGTGATCGGCTAAATACGTTAGTTGGAGAACAGAAATTTAACAAAACAAAAATGAAAACTATTTCGTTAAAAGTAACATAAGGTGTTTGCTTAAGGCGATTTGAGGCATTAAACAACCCTGTAAGCTTAGTCAATTGTAAAAATATTTGGTGAACGTGTAAGCTGAAGCTTTTATTATACAGTTACAAATGCATTCTAATATAATAATAATCATAGCGTTAGATTATGTCGTTAGGTAAAGTTTCTCTAAGTTTAGCTCTAAGCAAATGACAATAACAAAATCCGTAATAATGGGAAACTTCAGTGGTGTATGTTACGTAACGATTTGCAAATCGTTTGTATTTTATATTACATTTCATTTATCATAGTATTTTATTAAATTTTAACGATACAATGTCATTTGTGTTCTTCTCGCGCTGTTCAACACTAAACTAATATGGATAAAACTAAGACTATAATTGTTATTTCATAATTATCGCTACATATACTTACCAGCGTGCAATAACAATATTTATCATTCCCATTAAAAGCTATGTGTGTATATTTATGATAAGATAAATTTTTAATTGTACAAATATATTAAAGTTTAAGGCTCGTTTACCAATATACTTGCAAAATCAATATCCTTGTAATTGAGGTTATAAACACATTAGTAGTGTAAAAAGATGTAATGGAAATTCAATGAAATTTCGGATTTGTTGTAGAATATAGTTTCGTTAAAAAATTTTGTAGATTTATGTAACATTTTCAAGCCGATAATAGCAAATTTAAGCATTTCGAATTAGTTGCGAATACGTAAGTATAACAAATACCTTTTCTCCAAATATACGGTTATGAAAAATTATTTGAATAAAAATTTACTTAGCCTTCCATATTAAAAAGAATAACTTCAATTAATTTAGCTATATAAACATGGATAATGAAGAGTTGTTTGAGCATAATTCAAGTTCGGAAAATGTGAATATAGAGCACAAGAATAATATAAAAAATAGAAAACATTATTTGAATCAAGAAGAGAAAGAAAAATTTTTAAAATCTCAAATTAAGCAAGAAACAAAGAAGAGTGTAAAGCAACCGAGGCACGCCGAGAAAGAAGATAAATTTCAAAAAGCACCGACCACTGTCAAAATTTATAAGATCTTAATTTTACTAGCTCTCTTTGTACCGATTTTAGGCATATTTATGAATCAAAATAAATTCAGCATATTTATGTCTACCGTTGCGATGGATCCGGGTAGCGCCAAAATTTATGTTAGGACAAAGTTGAATGATTTAAAGTTAATATATAAGAATCAAGAAGATGATTTGTGGAATGAAATTTTAATAAGTATACACATGTTTGTTACGAATCCTACGAGACCTTCTATAATTCTATTATTAGGAAATGAATTTCAACCACTGAAATGTTTAGCTACATCATTAGGGAATATAAGCAGTAAGGTATTAGATACGGACAATGTATTCCTTGATCCTGAAAATTTTGACGACAATACTGGAATAGTTATAAAGTCAATGCAGTCACAAGTTCAATATAAAAAAGTCATTGTGAGTTCATTGTAAATTGAAATTAAAATTAAAATTTGACAAACTTATGTAATTCTTAACATTTTGATTAATTTCAATAATATTTTAGATTGTTTGGGATTTGTTAAATATAAATGTCGAAGCCTTAAAGGCATTTCACAATTTTTGTGATACTATTAACCCACTGGAAAAGGACGTTATTTATATAATAAGTATGATTGCAGAAAATTATGAAAATAAAATTACAGCAATAGAATTTATCGAAACTGAGCTTTGGAAAAAATTATCCGGCAAAATAAAAGAAGACAGTATACAACCATTAATTACTAGAATTACCAGTGGGTCTGTCGTTTTTGTAAATTCTGAGCCAACTTTTACAGATTGTTAATATTACAGATTATATACATAATTTGATTGAGATTTTAAATTTAAGGGTAAAAGTTCCATGTAAATTGTAACATATACCAAGCATACTATTATAAGCAATTTGTTTCATAAATATACAATAAAATGTATGCATTTATGAACATATAATGTTATTTTATATACTTTTCGACTTTTAATAAATATTTAAAGTATAAAAGAATTTATAATTTTGTAATTTTTAATTGTATTTTAATATTAATTTTTGTTGTTGTTTTTTTCTTTTCATTTGTCTCAATTTGTAACAGTCGATAGTATATATTAAGGCAATATATTATTAAATATATTTATAATAAATCAAATCATTTGTAATTCATCTACTTTATTGTATCAATGCCATCGTGTACAGAAAAAAAATGACAATGTTAAATTTATCGGATTGGCAATAGTAGTAAAGTAGAAATTGTTATTGATATTCAGAGGAAGGAAAACGTATGTATTTAAAGCAAGTTTCAATTTTATTTGATTTTTGCAAATAAAAAATATAATTGTCTTGGGGAATTGCGAATAAGATACCAAATTTATCAATTGTATCAAGTATGTTATTATGTATGCAAAGATCAAACAAAAAATATATACTAAATCATGTATATATATATATTATTATTATCTTTTTTTCTTTTTTTTTTAATTCACTTTTGATGCAAAAGCAAGATTCGCAGAAATAAAAATTTTTCTTCAATTTTTAAAAAGCTTGCTTAAGTTGAACCTTGTAAATTAATAGGTACTAATAAAACTGTTGGCATCGTCATATAATATATATTCTATTGTTCAATATTAGATTAGTTGAACTTAAAACGAATTTAATGGTAAATGAGATGACATTTATGCTTCGTGTCTAATAACATTATTTCGACGTTGTGGCGTAACAGTCGGCAGTCCTTGTAGTATTTACTGACATCGTCTCAAAATCATCACATTTAGTTTTACCTCGTTATCATTTTACATATATATTTTCGCTTGACATAAAGTAAAATACTTTTCCATTAACAAATAATCAAAATTTCAATTCGATACGTGAATTTGTATAAGCACGTATTGTTATTATCTTGATATTAATGAAACAAGTGAAATATCAAAAAGAGAGGACGAAAACTCATCGACACTCTTAATTCTAGAAAAGAAAAATTATTTAACTATATAATATCAAACGAATGTCATTCTTTGTAGCATATCTTTCGTCATGATCTCACATGTCGGTAACTAAAATATGCAATATATATATATATAGTATTTGTATTATATAGTATTGTATCGTCGAACCTAAATAATAAATACATTTTATACAGTCGCAGACCTTTTATACAGAATGTCCAAATTTTTATTGCTGTACAGTTTAATAATAATATCTACAGCCATTTAAAATTTTGGTAGTTAATCTTTGCTTGTCATCGTATCTATATTTGAACTAAATAAAGTTTGATGAGTGAAAAAATAATCTTAAATTGCAAGGCCCATCGAGTAACTTTCAAAGTCACATAATTTTTCGTAAAATTAACATAAAACAGACCACTCTATTTCGTTAATTGCAATTACATAATGATTTTTACAACACACCCAACAAAATAAGCGAATTCAATTGAAGTTTCGTTAAAAATTCTTTTAAATCAAGTTTTTTATTCATATATATATAATTTTTATATATATATATATATATATATATATATATATATATATATATATATATATATATATATATATATATATATATATGCACTTGTATATCATCTTTCTTTCTTTCTTTCTTTCTTTCTTTCTTTCGTTCGTTCGTTCGTTCTCGTTTCTTTCCTTTCCTTTATTTTTGTTTTTTATATTATTTTTATTTTATCACATAATCAATTCTAGGGCACTCTGTATAGAATAGCCTGTAAAATTACTAGGTACGTATTTACAGTAAAAAAGTTTAATTGGTCATGTATCCTACTTAGCGTAGTAAAGAGAGGAGTAGCGAGTTACGTATTGTTGTCTGTTTCGGCTACAGAGTCGCGTACTTCAGTCGCATTCATTGTCTTGCAAGTCGTCACATGCAAGTGTTTGTATTTTTTTAAAATTTTTTTTTTTTTTTTTTGAGGGGTCAGTCGAAGTCGAACGAGGTAATGTCCGTGTCTTCAGTTTTGTACATATAACCGTTGCCAATCAATTTAACATTTTGTTTTAAGCCTTTTTTAAAGCGTTAAAACTTCTTATACAGATTTTTTTAAAAGTTGAAATGCCTTTTTTTTGTTTTTTTTTTGTTTTTTTTTTTGTTTTTTTTTTTGTTTTTATAATTAAATATACAGAAGATACGATCTTAGTTGAAAAGAAATCGTAATATAAAACAAATTACATCAAAGCATCGCTAAATAAATGTTATTTTCAAACTTATTATTTAAAACTATAAGCTGGAATCATTGTAATACTTACAATGTATAATTTGATTTAAAAATTTCGTTTCTCAGCTTTATTCTTAAAAGCATCGGAGTTGAAAACTATTATGATTATTGTTGTTGTTGTTTTAATTGTTTAAGTTCGAAAGAAGAACAATACATAGTGCGTGTGGGTATTTTTTTTGTTTGTTTGTTTTTTTTTTCGTTTTGTTTGGTTTTGTTTTTGTTTTGTTTTACACCGTTCATTCAACGATAGAAATCACGTTTCTTTAAAATGGACAATAACTCATTCGATGAATAAAAGTAACGCATGCCTCGACGCACTTCAAATATGGAGTTGGATCGTTCAATTAAAATTGGAAGCTATGAACCGGTAATTGTGATGAGCCGGGTGTTTGAAATTGAAATTCTTGCTCTTGGGCGTTAACGGCTGGAGCGATTCTTGTATCCTCTTCCGAACTAAAGTAACGTTCGATAATATCAAATGCCTTTTGATAGATTTCTAAATTTTGATGAGATTGTAAAAACTCAATTTTATCTAGGCCTGTTAAAATTACATTGGCATTACATTTTCAAAGTTCAAACTTCATAAGTATATACTAATGCGATATTTTAATTTGCAATTAACGTTTAGGGGCAGCGGTAATACTTACCAAAACATTGCTCTATGAGAACACAGTACGGATTGATGCCGTTATTACGATCTAAATCTCGTTCACCAAGACGTAAAATATTGTCCAAACCGTTCAATGCCACTTGTATTATTTTGGCATCCATCACTGTCAACAATTCGCACAGTGGGGGGATGCAATTTTGTTCCGCCAAGTATCGAATTTGATCCGGTGTTCCTCCATTAGCAGCATTAGTAATGGCCCACGCAGCCTCTTTACGTGTTTTAAATTCGGCTTTACTCAAAATGTCTATCAAAACTGGGAAAATCTTAGCATCTATAATAGCCTGAAAATGTTTTTTCTTTCTTTTTTTACGAATTTTTACGAATTTTTACGAATTTTTATGAATTTTCATGAATTTTTATGAATTTTTATGAATTTTTATGAATTTTTACGCCTAAAGGAAATTGTGGCTAGTAAGCAGTGTGCCGTATATGGAAAAAAAAATCATTAAAATGTAAAAATATCAATGATGTTGTAAAGTTTGAAATGTGTAAGCGTACCTGAATTTGTTGTGGATTTCCAGCGGTAATATTTGAAATTGTCCAACAAGCTTCTTTACGAATACTCTCACGCGACTGTCCAAGTAGATTTAATAAACAAGGCAATACCGAGCAGTTTAATACGACTTGAGTTTGTAAATCATCGCCAGTAACTATGTTGCCCACAGCTCGTAGTGCCGCACTTATGACATTATGTTGCTCGTGCCTTAACAATAAGGACAATCGTGACAAAGTCTTTCAATGGCATTTTGTAAAAAATTAATTGAAATAAGCGTCATACATTAATAATTCGATTAGACGGCGGCATACTCCAGCATCGATAACCACTTGAATCTTTTCGTTTGGCCCGTCACTCAAGTAAGAGAGAGCCCAGCATGCATCGGCTAAGACATCGGCATCTTGGTGATTTAACAAGTACGCAAGAATGGACAAACACGGTGAAACCTTTTGAAACTCAGGCGGTGGAGTCTTTCCTCTACATAAATTTGACAATGCCCAGACTGCATTTCGCGTCATGGACAAACGATTTTGCTTCGTGAGAAGTCTACAAGCACGATGAATTAATTGTAAACGATTAAGATTAAATGTTGGGGCAAAAAATTATATTTAAGCAAGGCATATTAGTTTTGCTTTCGACACTTTATACACTGATGTACTATTTGCCGCTAATCCATCGTGTAAACCATAAAGAGATCGTTTAATTTTAATTAGTAAGGAAATATTGTAAGTCTCTAATGCGTTACATGCTAATACATTACAAATATCGGGATTTTCAAATTCAAAGAAACGTCAAAATAAATTCTAGCGCTATTAATTGTCGTCACTTACGCAAGGAGAGGAGGTAAGATACCACTGCTCAATACATAATCCCTGCACTCCGGGCTATCTCCTGCTATATTACCTAAAGCCCATACCGCTTGTTCTTGTACATCTTCGTGTTTCGAACTTAAAAGTGCTATGAACATAGGCACCGCTCCAGCGTCGATTACTTTGTGGGTTTGATGAGATGTTCCACTGGCGATATTTGTTAATGCCCAAGCAGCTTCGAACTATAAATAATTACAAAATTATCGCATCATTTCGTCAATATTTCAATAATAAATTACTAATAAATTAAAAATACTAGAAAGTCGTTGTTGGATTCGATCGGTTATATTATATTTTCTATCGCTCAGCATTTTTCAACATCTCAATCGATAGCCTTAAAAATTATTTTAATAATTGGATTATTAATTTTACATTGACATTTATTAAAACGACATAAGACTATAAAATTTATATTTAACGCCACTGTACTTGCAATTATAAATTAATTTTTAGCGCATTAATTAACGATTATTTTGTCACGAAATCCTATATACATTTGAGATAATGGAACTTTACTGACCTGCAGCGTATAATTCTCATCGTTTTTTAGAAATTCGACAAATCTAGGTACGATTCCAGTCCCAATTACTTCATCGATCGGTGGATTTGGTTCTCTGGACAAAAGTTTCCTAAATTTTTGAGTCGCTGAAAACTGTACCTTAACATCCGTGCTGAATAATGCCTCTAACATTTCTGATGTTATTGTCAGAGATTGCTGCAAAGTCGCATTAACACATTAATATTCAATCTATCAACTATATCCAAGGCATTAATACTCCTGCTGATACATACTATTGCCGGTGGTGGTACTGTGTAGTCTTCGTTGATCGACAATGTATCGTCATCCGAGACAATATTAGGAACATTGCGCCTTTTTGACAATTGCTGCTCTCTCTTTTGTTTCCTCAATTGAACACCCTCCTCTTCTCTGCGTCTTCTAAGCTCTTGCGAATCCAATCCAACATTTTTATAACGATACTTATGTGCTGGTCCAGTCGACATCTAAACACAGACGCACACGCACGTACGTACGTACGCGCACACAAAATATACATATATTAAATCTCAATATCCAATTTTTCCAATCTCTTAACATTACTCCAAAAATCAAAAAATGAAAATACTTTTGTACAAGTTTCGCAATGACGGAATGCCTTAGAAAGAGAGCAGACCGAGTCACGCTCGTCATTTTCCAGGGCACCGAACAACCGAGTTAGAAAGATAAAATATGAGCACGTGAGGGTTATGTTTTGCACAAACGTATTCGAAACAATGTTTCGCCCGAGAGCCGCGCAAAGGTAGATTAGAAGCATCGTCAATAATGGAATCCTACAAACGCAAGTGCATAATTGAAATTATTTTACTACGCGCATATCGTTAAATAGGGCCGCGTTCGGACACATGCACCATTGACGTGCAATGCGATGTGTGCTGCTGGCGAAAGCGAGGGCAGAAAAAAAACGAGATCTCAGCGTGATTTCCCGCATTACTTTCAATCTCCTTTACTTCGCACGCTATATCCATACATTAATGAGAAAATCAAGGAAGAGGAAGATCACCGAGCCTCCTCTTTTAATGTACTCACTGTTAAGTTATTTAGTTGCTGCAAGGGCGACAAATATCAAATGGAACAGCTCATGAGCCTTCAGGTATCGCACTCTCCGCTACCGTTCAGCTCAAACTTCACACACGCGCTCGCTTTTTTTCTTTTTTCTTTTTTTTCTTCAGGACCAATCAACCGACAGACCAGCAGTAGCAGTAGCAGCAGCAGCAGCAGCAACAGCGGCGGCAGCAGCAGCAACAGCGGCGGCAGCAGCAGCAGCAGCAGCAGCAATAATAATAATAACAACACAACAACAACAGCAGCAGCAGCTACAACACCAGCAGCAGGGCTCACTCGAGATAGAAGATGTATTATATATATATATATATATATATATATATATATGTATATGCGTGTTTGTGTGCGTGCGCGCGTATTTAATGTCTATAGATATATCGTACGTACGCGACAATAAGGAGAGGAAAGCCTTTTAACGCGTATGTTACACTTCCTCTCTCTCTCTCTCTTTCTTCACTCTGACCCTACTACTACCACCACCTTTCTCTCCTCTCTCTTGGTACATATACGTACAATGTTCCACGGTCACGTTCAGATCTAGATTACGAGCATGTGTGAGAGAGCGCGCATGCGCGCGCGCCTGAGGAATTACGGATTACGTCAGTCGTCTCAGCTTGCTGATAGGCCGAAAGTCGACAATTTTTTATTTATCCTCCGTGGCTCTGAAGTTATAAAGGTGTATCTCTTCATCATTTTCATTTGCGCATGCCCGTGTTGCGAAAATACAAGCGGATGTATGATAAACTCGAGATCTCGTGAAAATTACAATCGCTAGCTTTATATTTTGATATTGCATTTTTATTTTGAGAATTATTATTAATATACTGTGACGACGATTGCCATACTCGATCGTTATCCCAGCACTGCTTGGTGTTTCATGTAGGCTATTTCTATGTATATATTTATATATACGTGCATATAAATTTTTTATGGCAATAGACACAGATGGAGCAGACTATATTATATATGTGTATATATATATATATATATATATATATATATATGTATATGCTATGCTTGCGTGGGAGATGATTTTTCAAATTACACAAACTTTATCCCTTGTAACGCATATCTTTTAAAAAATATACGTGCGTCTAATAGAATTTTATATGAATTTTTAGTATACAAAGTTCTATAAAGTAGCACAATCGGTACAATCGACACAATCGGTTATTTAAGCGCGAGGCCAAGACTAACTATAATTGATAAACGGATAAAGGTAAAATTTAGAGTCTTATGAGCTAATTTATACATTTATCATTTCGAAAATTCTATATAAAACTCTCAATTTAATGAAAATTGTTCGTTTGTGGATTAATGACTTTCAACATAACGAAACTTATCGAGCGCGTGTCGATGAAATTTCGCACGAGCAACGAAAATCGAGAGATTATTGCCATGAAAGTTTGTCGAATAAAAATGCACGAATAGCGCTAAGATTAGATTTTGCCTTCAACGACGAGAGTCCATAATCTATTCGATTAACGATTAGTCACATTATGAGGTAGGCACGGCTAATAATAAAACTCCATTTCATTGCCAAATCATCGATTTAATGAAATAATGACCTCGGCTTTCTGTATCCTCGAAGCCATGAGCAAAGGATGCGTACTTATTACGTTCTTCCTCCTCATCGTGACGTAGCACCATCCGTAGCAGCCATCGTTGAGGTACGGACGGACGACTGCAACTCGAGGATGCTCGCACCCCAGTAGTCAATGTACACTCAATCACCTTACCACCGATGATCCACCGATGATCCACCGATGATCCACCGATGATTCACCGGGCATTATAATTAGCAAAAGAATCTCGTATTATTACTGACCAATATTTGTGCAATTGCCGATTTTTGAAATTCCGAAATCTCTTTAGTCGGGAACGCGTGATAATCGCCAGAAACTTATCACTATCATTGTCATTATTATTGCCATTATTATCATTATTATCATTATTATCATTATTATCATTATTATCATTATTGTCATTATTATCATTATTACTATTATTATTGTTGTTATTATTATTATTATTATTATTATTATTATTATTATTATTATTATTATTATGCGACACACGGTTGGGGTGATGGAAAAGAGGCGCTTTTAACACATCGTTAATAAATAAAAATCTATTATATAATCGAGAAATTGTATCGCCAGTTCAATACGTTCGACGTTTACTCTTATCTTATTAATTTTTAGCGATTATTTGTTACGTGTAAATAATCAATAATAAAAATTGAATAAAATTTACTATGAATGAGAAAGATAGATATAAAATAAAATCAGTTGTGTTGATCGAAGGAGATGAAGAAGACGACACGAATGATATTTGCGTGCATAATCGAGTATGTAACTGCAAAAAGTTCGACGGTCAGTTAAAAAAAGCTCGTTAATCAAAGGACCCAAAGGGCGATAAGTACGTCAAGTACGAGAAAATTGCACGCGCACGTGTCAATTGAACAGTAAAAATGTCAAGTGCTAATAAATAAGCTCTTAGCGACGGTAATTCGATTATTGTTCAACACTGCCCACATGACACATACATGTACAAGTATTAATAATTGTATATCGTGGATTATATTTTGTGCTTAGAATGAAAGGCAGTGGTATTATTGTAAACTGTACAATTATAATTTATTGCATCAATTCATGATAGCTTGATATAAATATACATACTTAAATACTTCCTACATCTACAAAATTAATTACATTAAAGAAAAGAAAGAGGGGGAAAAAAAAAAAAGAAAAGAAAAAAAAATGAAGAAACAAAGGTATTTACAAATATTACCAAATGTCATTTTCACATCACAAGAAGGACATTTCTCTATTTCAATAATTTTTCAATAGACATATTGCTTTGCTAGAGCACGGAGAAACCTTGCTTTACGAGTATTGGCAGCTTCTCTCTGTATTTCCTCATTGTTATTAGAATTAAGTTCTAAAAGTCCTATGACCTTGATCTGTAAACAATTACGTGCTGTTTAATATAGCATCCATTTACTAAAACACTTATCACGAGTTAGACAAAAGCATATTCTTTACCGCAAGCTGCTTTCGATGATGCTCTCCTCTCTTAGTATGTAAATTAATTAAATATTCAAGTATTGTCGTGTCCCAAATGCAATGGTAGTAGGCATCCATGGCATCATTGGGCGCGGCATTTTTCTGTTCGTTTCCAGCCATTTTAAAAGCCAAAGCATAGTCAACTTCGTCTAAAAACTGACAAAGCACGACCGCTTGGGTATTACATTGCAGGTGAGCACAGCATTTAATCATCCGTCTATAAACCAAATCATCTATTTGCCCTCGCACGGGTAGAGTGAACAGGTCACTGGCTACTATAATTGCTTCCAAATAATACTTCATGGCGCTCTCGTAATAGCCAAGCACTGAAATACAATAAAAAAAAAAAAAAAAAAAAAAAAAAAAAAAAAAAAAAAAAAAAAAAAAAACT